CTGTGTCCTGCTCAGAGAACCTCAGCTCTTGTGTCTCCACATAACTGGAGCCCCCACAGACATTCCCAAGCACTAGAATTGTGGCCTCCACTCAGGGCTGGCTGAACCCAGGGAGCTGTAGGAGTCCCAGTGGTCTACCTCTTGGGGAGTGCAGTTTCTAAAGGAAGGGAGAGTGCAGTGCACCAAAATAACACCTGTTGGGACAATGGAAACAGAACATAGGCTTTTCTGTGCCTGAGAGCTCCCTACTTTTGGAATGTAAATGATTATACCACCTCCAGCAGAGATGTGGGCACTGTGCTAAGCTCTGCAAAGGAAGATTTCCATCTCCCCAGCCAAGCAGTCTCAATGTTCAGGTCCAGGTGTGGCAAGGGGAATTTCTCCTCCTTCCCCTCTCTCACTGCTGCAGACATGGCCATAGTGGCTTCCACAGAAAATTGCCACAGGTGTGCTGGAAGACAGCCCTATTTTTTTTTTTTTTTTTGAGGTGGAGTTTCGCTCTTGTTGCCCAGTCTGGATTGCAATGGCACAATCTCAGCTCACCACAACCTCCACCTTCTGGGATCAAGCAGTTCTCCTGCCTCAGCCTCCTGAGCAGCTGGAATAATAGGCATACACCACAATGCCCGGCTAATTTTGTATTTTTAGTAGAGATGAGGTTTCTCCATTTTGGTCAGGCTGGTCTCAAACTCCTGACATCAGGTGATCCGCCCTCCTTGGCCTCCCAAAGTGCTGGGATTACAGGTGTGAGACACTATACCCCAACAGAAGACAGCCTTTTTAAGGCTATTAGGGGTAACTGCGTCTACAGTGGCAGTGTGGCCACCAAGTTTGGGCTTGCATGAAATACAGAACCCTTTCTGCCTTTCTAGACAAGAGCAATAGTGTTTCTGCAGAACAGAGTAGGAGAACCAAAAAGCTGTGCATTTTGAATTGAAAAAGGAGGTTGCACACTGAAGATATTTCAGCAGTGAGCTGTGGGACAGAAATTTTTTGTGGCTTTTTCCTACACTGCAGACTGGAGATAGAGGTGTCTGACCAATTGGAGTGTCCCAAGAACTAGGGTAAGGGTGTGACAAGGAAAGATAAAAGTGATAGTTTTTCCATATGAGAAGAAATACACTGAACAATTCTGAAAATATGAGTAATCATGGTGTCACTCTACTCCCAAAGGATCACGCTAACTCTCCAGCAACTCATCCTAACCAAAATGAAATCTATCTGAGAGAAAGTTATGAAACCAACACAAAAATCAAAAAATCAACTAAGGGTGTGCATTAAAAACATATTAAAAAAATAGAGCTTTTAAAAAAAGAACTTCTGGAAATGAACAATTTGTTGAAAGAATTACAAAATACACTTTAAAAGCTTTAACAATCGACTAGACCAAGCAGAATGAATAATCTCAGAGCTTGAAGACAATACTTTCAAATTAACCAATAGGAGAAAAAAATATTTTAAAGGAATTTAAAAATGAACAAAGCCTTCAAGAAGTAAGAGATTGCATAAAATGTTCAAACCTGTGAGTCATAGGTATTCATGAGAAGGAAAAGAAAAAAGTTTGAAAACCCATTTAAGAAAATAATTGAGGGAGGATCCAAGATGGCTGAATAGGAACAGCTCTGGATTGCAGTTTCCAGTGAAAACGCAGAGGGTAAGTGATCACCGCATTTCCAAACAAATTTTTACTGCCCACAGACCAGGAGATTCCCAGGCGGAAAAGTGCCACGAGTCTCCAGTGCAGCTGTTTCAGCTGGCGCAGAGGGTCTCTGCACAAAAACTCACACAAATCTGGGTGCCATTTCAACTGGCAACTGGAATGCCTGAGAAACAGAGTCACCCATTCAGCTGAAAAAAGGGGGCTGAAACAGGGAGCCAGGTGATCTGGCTGTGCTGGTCCCACCCCCACAAAGACCAGCAATCAGAAACGCTCTGGATTGAGAGTTTCACAGCAAGCACAGGTGGACCCAGGATGGTCCAGCTCTGTTGGGGGAAGGGCATCTGCCATTACCGAGGCAGTCCACCACTACCCAGGCAGTCTCCCATTACTGAGGCAGTCCACCATTACCGAGGCAGTCCACCATTACCAACACAGTCTGCCATTACTGAGGCAGACTGCCATTACTGAGGCAGTTCTAACTATACCCCTATAAACAAAACTGCAAGCAAATTCACACAGCAGCTGGGCAGAGCCCACAGCAGCTCAGCAATGCCTCTGTTGGCAGACTGTGACTAGGATACCTCCTTGCTCGGCAGGGCATCTCCAAAAAAAGGCAGCAGAATGACAGGAACTTATAAATAAAGCCCCACCTTCCCAGGACAGAGCACCAGGGAAAAAAAGGCAGTTATGAGTTCCACTGCAGCAGACTTAAACATATCTGCCCAGCAGCTCTGAACAGAACAATGGAGATTATAGCTCAGCACTTCAGCTCCTATAAGGAACAGACTGTCTCCTCAAGCAGCTCCTCAACCCCCATATAACCAAAGAGTCACCTCATAAAGGAGAGCTCAGGCTGACATCTGGTGGGTATCCTTCTGGGACAAAGATAACAGAAGAAGAAACTGGCAGCAACTCTTACTGTTCTGCAGCCTCTGCAGTTGATCTTCAGGCAAGCAGGGTCTGGAGTGGACCTCCAGCAGTCCTACAGCAGGAGGACCTGACTGTTAGAAGGAAAACTAAGAAGCAGAAAGAAATAACTTCATCAGCAACAGAAAGGACATCCACTCAGAGACCCCATCTGAAAGTCACCAGCCACAAAGACCACAGGGAGATAAATCCACAAATATGGAATAAACCAGAACCAAAAGCATGAAAATACCCAAAACCAGAATGCCTCTTCTCCTTCAAGGGATCACAACTCCTCACCAGCAAGGGAACAAGGCTGGATGGAGAAGGAGTCTGATGAATAAACAGAAACAGGCTCCAGAAGGTGGATAATAACAAAATTTTCTGAGCTAAAAGATCATGTTCTAACCCAATGCAAAGAAACTAAGAATCTTGAAAAAATGTTTGATGAAATGCTAACTAGAATAAACAGCTTAGAGAGGACTATAAATGAATTTATGGAGCTGAAAACACAACACAGGAACTTCACAAAGCATACACAAGTTTCAATAGCTGAATCAACCAAGCAGAAGAAAGGATATCAGAGATTGAAGATCAACTCAATAAAACAAAATGAGAAGGCAAGATTAGAGAAAAAAGAGTAAAAAGAAATGAACAAAGCCTCCAAGAAATATGGGATTATGTGAAAACACCTAATCTACATTTGATTGGTGTACCTCAATGTGAGAGAAAGAATGAATCCAAGCTGGAAAACACTCTTCAGGATATTGTCCAGGAGAACTTCCCCAACCTAGCAAGGCAGGCCAACATTCAAGTCCAGGAAATCCAGAGAACACCACAAAGATATTCCTCAAGAAGAGCAACCCCAAGGCACATAATCGTCAGATTCACCAGGGTTAAAATGAAGGAAAAAAATGTGAAGGGCAGCCAGAGAGAAAGGTCAGGTTGCCCACAAAGGGAAACGCATCAGACCCACAGCAGATCCCTCAGCAGAAACCCTACAAGCCAGAAGAGAGTGGGGGCCAATATTCAACATCCTTAAAGAAAAGAACTTTCAACCTAGAATTTCATATCCAGCGAAACTAAGCTTCATAAGCAAAGGAGAAATAAAATCCTTTATGACCGAGCAATTGCTCAGAGATTTCATCACCACCAGGCCTGCTTTACAATAGCTCCTGAAAGAGGCACTAAACATAGAAAGGAACAACCAGTACCAGCCACTCCAAAAACATACCAAATGGTAAAGAGCGTCAACACAATGAAGAAACTACATCAACTAATGGGCAAAACAACCAACTAGCATAAAAATGGCGGATCAAATTCACACATAACAATATGAACCTTAAATGTAACTGGGCTAAATGCCCCAATCAAAAGACACCGAATGGCAAATTGGATAAAAAATAAAAACCCATTGTTGTGCTGTATCCAGGAAACCCATCTCAAATGCAGGGATACACAGGCTCAAAATAAAGAGATGGAGGAAGATATATCAAGCAAATGGAGAGCAAAAAAAAGCAAGAGTTGCAATCCTAGTCTCTGATAAAATAGACTTTAAACTAACAAAGATCAAAAGAGACAAAGAAGGGCATTACATAATGGTAAAAGGATCAATGCAACAAGAAGAGCTAACCATCCTAAATATATACACACCCAATACGGGAGTACCCAGATACATAAAGCAAGTTCTTAATGACCTACAAAGAGAAGTAGACTCCCACACAATAATAGTGGGAGACTTTAACCCTCCACTGTCAATAGTAGACAGATCAACGAGACAGAAAATTAACAGGGATATCCAGGACTTTAATTCAGACCTGGACCAAGCAAACCTAATAGACATTTACAGAACTCTCCACCCCAAAGCCACAGAAAATACATTCTTCTCAGCACTACATCACACCTACTCTGAAATTGACCACATAATTGGAAATAAATCACTCCTCAGCAAATGCAAAAGAACAGGAATCATAACAAACAGTCTCTCAGACCACAGTGCAATCAAATTAGAACTCAGAATTCAGAAACTAACTCAGAACCACACAACTTCATGGAAACTGAACAACTGGCTCTTGAATGTTGACTGGATAAACAAGGAAATGAAGGCAGAAATAAAGATGTTCTTCGAGACCAACCGGAATGAAGACACAATGTATCAAAATCTCTGGGACACATTTAAAGCAGTGTCTAGAGGAAAATTTATAGCAATAAACGCCCATATGAGAAGTAAGGAAAGATCTAAAATCAACATCCATGATGAACATAGATGCAAAATCTTCAATAAAATATTGGCAAAGTGATTGCAACAGCACATTAAAAAGCTTATCTATCACAATCAAGTAGGCTTCATCCCGGGGATGCAAGGCCGATTCAACATATGCAAGTCTATAAATGTAATTCACCACATAAGCAGAACCAAAGACAAAAACCACACAATAGATGCAGAAAAGGCCTTTGACAATATTCAACAGCTCTTTACGCTAAAAACTCTTGACAAACTAGGTATTAATGGAACATATCTCAAAATAATAAAAGCTATTTATGACAAACCCACAGCCAATATCATACTGAATGGGCAAAAACCGGAAGCATTCCCTTCGAAATCTGGAATTAGACAAGGATACCCTCTCTCACCACTCCTATTCAATATAGTATTGGAAGTTCTAGCCAGAGCAATCACGCAAGGAAAAGAAATAAAGGGTATTCATTTAGGAAAGGAGGAAGTCAAATTGTCTTTATGCAGATGACATGATTGTACAGTTAGAAGACCCTATCATCTCAGCCCAAAATCTCCTGAAACTAACAAGCAACTTCAGCAAAGTCTCAGGATACAAAATCAATGTGCAAAAAATCACAAGCATTCCTATACACCAATAACAGACTTAAAGAGAGCCAAATCAAGAACAAACTGCCACTCACAATCGCTACAAAGAGAATAAAATACCTAGAAATACAACTAACAAAAGATGTAAAGGACCTCTTCAAGGAGAACAAACCACTGCTCAAGGAAACATATGATCCAGCAGTTTCACTGCCCGGTAAATATCCAAAGTAAATGAGATCAGTATGTCGAATAATAATGCATTTCTATGTTTATTGCAGCACTAGTCACAATATCCAAGGTATGGAATCAACTTAAGTGTTCAACAGTGGATGAATGAATAAAGAAAATATGTTATAGATATAACATGATATAATATATGTAGTATCCATATGTAATGGATAGTATTCAGCCATAAAAAGAATGATATTCTGTCATTTCAGCAACCCAGAGGACATTATGTTAGGTGAAATAGGCCAGGCACAGAAAAAGGCAAATACCACATGATCTCACAAAAAAAAAACACAAATACCACATGTGGAATCTAAAAAGTTATTCTTATAGAAGTGAAGAGTAGAACAGTGGTTACTAGAGATGAGAAAGATAAAGTATAACAACTGTTTGCATACTATTTATGTTTTATTGGTTATTATAAGTAATCTAGAAATGATTTAGAGTATACAACAAGATGTGTGAAAGACATGCTGATATGAGGGAGGGAAGACAGAGAAAGATGGCCTTCCCTCCCTCATATTAGAAGGTTTCACCAATCTTCTGCCCAACACACCTACAAGGACACCAATTTAACAACTATCTACACAGAAATAAACTCCTTTATAAGAACCAAAACAGGTGAGTATAAATAGTACCTGGTTTTAACTTGATATTACTGAAAGAGGCAATGAATAGATTTTTTAAAAAAGGTCCTAAATTGCTGATGTCATTTTTCCCTTACCTTCTCCACCCCAACACATACCCCCCTCCTGCCCCCAACCAATGCTGTGGTGAGGTGCAGACAGCATCTCTGGGAACTGGGGTAGGGAGAGCACAGCAATTACCAGACATTGAGCTCAGTGCTGTCCTGTTAGCATAGAAAGAAAAACTAGACCAAACTCAGTTGATGCCCACCTAGAAAGTGGGCATTTAAATGAGCCCTAGCCAGAGGGGAATTGCTAATCCCAAGGGTCAGAACTTGAGTTCCCTCAAACCTCTCCACTAAGGGCTACAGTGGTCTGTATCTCCAGCTTGCCTTTCTAGCTTACTTGGTGTTCTACTGTACTCAGACACAGTACAATAGAGGTGCTGTCTGCGAGTCAGGGATTAGGGTCAAAAACCTTCAAAGTCTACCAGGTGTTCTATTGTACTGCAGCTGAACTGGCACTCAAACCATAAGACACAGACCTTCTCATTCTTTTCCTCCCTTTTTCAAAGGCAGAGGAGCCTCATCTTATAGCCACCACCACCCCAAGCCATGAGGAATACTGCCAGAGTACTGTTAATGTTTCCTTAAGACCCAAGGTCTCTTAAGTCAGGTTGTAGTGTATGCTGCCTGGCCTGGGACTCACTCTTCAAGGCAGTGAGTTCCCCTTGGCACAGGGCAGGTTCAGAAATGCCATCCAAAAGTCAAGTCCTAGAATCAAAGGACCAAAGAGTCTGCTTTGTGCTCTATCCTCATGTGGTTGTGCCGGTACCTAAGGTTCAAGACAAAGTCCTCTTTACTTTTCCCTCTGCTTTTGTCAAGCAGATTTTCCCCATAGCCACCATAGCTGGTAGTGTGTTGAGTCTTACTCAACTTACTTGGCCTTACTCACCCAAGGCCCTTGACATAGCATCACTTAGGTATAGCTTCTGGTTATTCAGGGCTCAAAGGCTCCTCAGATAGCAGGTGATGAATGCTGCCAGGACTGTGTTCTTCCCTTCAAGGCAATGGATTCCCTTCTGGCCCAGGGAAATGTCATCTGGAAGCTACAACCTGGAATGGGGGCTTGAGGCACCTCACCGCCATGAAGGGAAGACCACAGGATTTGGCAGGCCTCGTCACCTGCTGATTGCAGAGCTCCAGGGCCGTGAGTGAACACAGACAGTATCCAGGGAATTGTTACAGCAGGACTTGGATGAAATCCAGTGCAGTGCTGGCTTCAGGTCTGACTCAGCACAGGAATACTGGTGGCAGCCATGGGGTATTTGTGTCACTCCACCCCCAGTTTTAGATGACTCAGGACAAAGAATGAAACACTGTCTGTTTGGGAGAAAGTAATAGAAGATAAGAAGACTCTCTGCCTGAAATATCCTGTACTTTGTTCAAGACCATCAAGGCAGTACGTCTATGACTCTGCAAGAACCACAACATTACTGGGCTTGGGGTGCCCTCTAAAGAAGACAGATCTTATAATACAACACTCAAGTCCTTTAAAATATCTGGAAAGTTTTCCCAAGAAATATAGGTACAAATAAGCTTAGACAGTGAAGACTATAATAAAGACCTCACTCTTCTGTGCCCGGACACCAAAAAACATTTACTAGCATTAACGCTGTCCAGGAAAACATGACCTCATCAAAGCATCAAAGACCAGTTCTGAAGAAATAGAGATATGTGACCTTTCAGACAGAGAATTCAAAATGGCTATGTTGAGGAAACTCAAAGATATTCAGGATAGCAAAAAGAAGGAATTCAGAATTCTATCAGATAAATTTAACAGATACATTGACATAATTAAAAAGAATCAAGCAGAAATTCTTGAGCTGAAAAATGCAATTGACATACTGAAGAATACATCAGAGTTATTTAATTGCAGAGCTGATCAAGCAGAAGAAAGAATTAGTAAGCTTGAAGACAGGTTATTTGAAAATACAAAGTAAGATGAGACAAATGAAAAAAGAAAAAAAAGACAATATAACATACCTAGAGGATCTAGAACATAGACTCAAAAGGGCATATCTGAGAGTTATTGCCCTTAAAGAGAATGTAGAGAAAGAGATGGAGTAGAAAGTTTATTCAAGGGGATAATAGAGAACTTCCCAAACCTAGAGAAAGCTATCAATATCCCAATACAAAAAGTTGATAGAACACAAAGCAGCTTTAGCCCAAAGTAGACTTCCTCGAGGCATTTAATAATTAGACTCCAAACAGTCAAAGATAAAGAAATAATCCTAAAAGCAGTAGACTTTTCAGTGGAACCTTACAGGCTAGGAGAGGGTAGCATGATATAGTTAAAATTCTAAAGGAAAAAAAATCCTTTACCCTAGAATAGTATGTCTAACAAAAAATACCCTTTAAACATGAAAGAGAAATAAAACTTTCCCAGACAAAGAAAAGCTGAAGGATTTCATCAACACCAGACCTCTACTACAAGAAATACTAAAGGGAGTATTTCCATCAGAAAGTGAAGGACATTAATGAGCAATAAGTAATCATCCAAAGCTAAAAATCTCACTGACAATGCTAAGTAGCCAGAAAAATACAGAATTTTATATCATTGTAACTGTTGTGTGTAAACTACTCTTATGAAAAATATAAAGATCAAAATTACAGTATTAGAATATCCTGAATTTGTCTGTTTTCTTTTGCCCATGAGTTTTATGTCTTCAGATGTTTACTTCCACATATTAGCAACCATTCCTTTCAGACCAAAGAATTCTTTTTAGTATTTCTTACAAGACAGGTCTGGTGTTCATAAATTTCCTCAGCTTATTTATTTATTTATTTATTTTGTCTTGGACACTGTGTTTCCTTCATGTTTGAAGGACAGCTATTCTGGGTCTAGTATTCTTGGTTGACAGGTTTGGTATTTTCCTTCAGCAATTTGAATATAGCAACCTACTCTCTCCTGGCTGACAGGATTTCTGCTGAAAAATCTGCTAAAAGTCATATTGAGGCTCTGTTAATTGTGTTGTTTCTTTTTTATTGCTGCTTTGAGTATTCTCTTTGTCATTAATTTTTACTTGGGAAATTACTTTTTGGGTAGAATTTGATTGGTGACTTCTGAGCTTCTTGTTACTGGATGCTGTTGTCTTTCTCCAGACTTGGGAAGTTTTCAGTCATAATTTTCTTAAATATGCTTTCAAGACCTTTTTCTTTCTCATTTTCTTTGGGAATTTCAGTTATGCAGAGGTTTATTCACTTGGTGGTATCCCATAATTCTTGTAGACCTTCTTCACTTTTAAAAATTCTTTTTTTCCTTTTTACCCTTTTTTCTCCAGTCTTGCCTTACGTGAGGCCAACAAACATATGAAAAAATGCTCATCATCACTGATCATAAGAGAAATGCAAATCAAAACTACATTGAGATACCATCTCACGCCGGTAAGAATGGCGAACATTAAAAAATCTGGAGACAGCAGATGCTGGAGAGGAT